GATGTCATGACAGAGAGAAATTATTGAACCTGGCACTGGTGGGCTGGAGCGCTAAGGCTGGGCCCAGGCCACCCTGGGGGGTTGGCGTTGGGGAGGGCAAAATTGCAGGGACCCTGGTTGACCCAGTTGGATGGGAGGAAGCTGAGACTTGGCTCTGACCCCTCTCCCCAGGGACTCTGGTGGGAACTGTCACCCTCCAAGGAGCTGGAGGGGAAGCACAGGCCCATGGCTAGGCTGGCACGTGTGGTGAGCAGAAAAGGTGGAGCTGGTCACCCACCAGACGGCCACGCAAGCAGCCTGTAAACTGGAAGGCACCACCTGAGCCTCCATCCACAGCAGGGCTTCCCCACTTCCCAGCCTCCAGAGTGCCCACCCTGCCCTACTGCAGGAGGTCAGGGTGCTTGGGAACCCCAACCCTGGTCTCAGCTCCACCGGGCTCAGCCTTTAGAGGAGCTGGAACCCCGGCCACACTCCTGCCCATTATGGAAGCTGAGGCTGCTGGAGCCCGGCTCTGAATCATAAAAGGGGTGTGGCCTTGGAGGTGCCCTCCTGGCCTCGGCCTCAGCTTGCTTGCCTATAAAGTGGGCACAGCAACTACATTCAGTTTAAAAGAGAGTCGCATGGGCCATTTCATCTCTTACTCTGGACGGGAGTGGGGACCAGGACCTCAGTCATCCAGGTGACCCTGCCCACCCCTGTGCCTGCTCTCCTCCCCTGCATCATGTACCAGATCCCGATGGCCCAAGTGCTCCTCAAGAGGGAGGGCATTGGTTGCGGACACCCAAAGCACACTGGGCATCATTCATGGTGATCTCTCCTGGATCCAGCACTTACAGCCCTGCTCTGGGAATCCCCTTGTGGGCACCTGCAGAGTCCCCTCCGGCCCACAGATCCCCTTCAGCACCCTGGCCCACTCTCTGAAGTGTCAGAGAGATGGGGAAACTAAAGCTCAGACTCTTGCCTAGCATCAGTCAGTTGGGGATGGAGCCCAGGTGATCCCCAACCCTGGTCCTCTGCTGCCTAGTGGGGCTAGAGCTCTCTTCTGGGGTGTCTGTACAAGACACCCATTCAGTGGGAGGTAGGGTCTTCACAAAAGGAACAGGGGTCCTAAAGAGTGGATGGCTGACCCTCCAGGGGACTCCCAGCTGGCACCTTTGGGCCAGGGCCTCCCCCACATCAACTCTGACCTGGATGGTGGAAGCAGACGCGGGTTGATGTCCAGGTGGGCCAAGGAGCCTGGGTGGGGCCCATGTGCCCCCTCTTTTCCTTTCCATCCCCAACTCCTCCGGACCCCCAGCAATCTCTTTGCCCACCCAGTGCCAGAAACAGCCCTGGTTTTGATCTTCCATTTGTCCCATGTAGAGGCCAAGACCCCGTTGGCCCTGGGTCTCTCCCTACCTTGGTTTCCCTCTGCTGGTGTCCACCATCCTCAGGGATTCCAGGCTCCTGCCTCAGCACCAATGCCCAGCCCGAGGAGGAGGACACAGGTCCCCCTTTTCAAAGGACTCCATCTGATATTTTATCATATATATATATATATATATATATATATATATTCTGATCAGTTACAAAAAATACTTTTCCTTTGGAGTTGCAATTTAAACAATATTTGAAGACGGCCGAAGCTATCTATCGACCCGGCCACAGTGATGAATTGGAGACGGTAATTCGAATTCATCGACCGCCCCACCCCTCCCCCAGCCCCTCTCCCATAATCACAGTTTGCAGGGGAGGGGTCTCTGCAAGGAGGAGACCCTGGATGAGCCCCCAGCCCAGAGGGAATGGGGCTGGGGGCTGCAGGGTGGGCCCTGCCTGGAGCTGCAGGATCCAGAGTCAGCATGTGGCAGTCAGAACCTGGCCCGGGCACCAAAGGCGCACGTTTTACAGACGGGTAAAATGAGGCCCGCGAGCCGGAGTCCAGGCCTGGGACTCAGGTCTTTTGAGGACTTCTTGGGCGTCTCAGTGAAACAAAGAAACCACCGATTTCCTCCTTTCTCCCCGGCCCAGATCCGCCAGGAGGTGGACTGGGAGGGGCCTGGCCGCGGGGCAGGGTCCTGGGGCCAGGCTCCCACCTCTGCGCTGCGGCCTCCCCTTTGTCTCTCCCTCTCGCCCTCCCTCTGCTCCTGTTTCGGCCAGTTTCTCCACTCGTCGGTCTCCTCCCCAGTTTTCTTTATTTTCTGTCTTTGGACCCCTTCCCGTCGATCTTTATCCCCCCCCCCCCCACACACCATCTGTTTATTTCTTCTCTCCTTCTCCCAGCGCGGACGCCCTTGCCCTTCCGTCACCCTTGCTGTCCCCGCCCCAGCCTGGGGAGACTCTCGGCGGCCCGGGACGAGTGGCCAGGGGCTAGGAGACGAGGACTGGGACAGAGAGTTCTGGGACGGGGCGGCGGCCGCGGTCCAGGTAGGAGGGCTTCGGCGCGCCGGCCGCGGGTGGAGGAAGGGGAGTCCTCCCTGGGGGCTGGAGTTAGGCTGAGGGGTGTCTGGGCGCCGCGGACTTGGGGCATCTGCTGGCGCTGGAGGCCGCCGCCTGGCAGGCCGGCTGTCCAGTGGGGACGCGCCTGCCGCCTCCCGCTAACCGTGCGATTTGCCGCCACTTAACCGCTCTTCATTAGCGCAGCGACCGGAACTAAAGGCCTCGGCCGGAGCCTAATTACCCCGCAGCCCTCGCCCTGGCTACGTCCCAGGTGGAGTCTGCAGGTGTGCTCGCGGCCCCAAGCACAAGGGAGGTGCGAAGGGTTAGGGCCGGGCCACCCCCAACAGACCTGGGGACAAGACACGTCCCGGTTCATTAGGTTCGTGACGTCCAACTCTGCCTGAGGCTCAGTGTGTGCCTGGCCCTGGCTCACCCCTCCGGTGGCCCCAGGCGGCGGCCATGGCCTCTGTCCCAACTAGTTTCCTAAATGGGGGACAGGCTTTGGAAGACAGAAGTCAGGGAGGCAGCCTCAGAACTCCAGCCCAGCCTCAGTTTCACCTTCTGTAAGTACACCTGCTGCAAGCAGGACACCAGGCTGGGTGGCCTGAGGTGGGCGGAAGTGCACACAGACCAAGGTCTGCGGCAACCAGGCAGTCCCCACACCAGAGTGGCACTGTTCACCTAGCGGTGACCTCCATCCCAGGGGAAGGGGCTTCTGGCTTGACCTGTAATGATCCTCTGTGGGCCCTCAAAATATGTCATTCAAATACCACCGAGGGGTCACCTTACATGATAAGTTGGTCATGGTAAATGCCAAGACTGTGGCTAATTCAGGGTTCCCCTAGCCCACTAGGTCCCCCAAATGTGTGGCCTGGATTTGAGGCAGTTGATGGGCATGGAGGTATATAAAACACCTGGCTCAGTGGCAGCCGCTCATGCCTGGAGAGGGCTGCCCCTTCCACAGAGCCTATGGGGTGTGCTCTCTACCACCTGAGGTCACCCCATCACACACTGCAGGCCGCCATTGTGTACTGATATGACTGAGCATCCACAGTGAGGCCATGCGTGCCCCTGCATGTGTCGTGGGAACAGGACACCCTGGTTCAACCCTCACAGGAAACTGTCCAGATTCTTGTAGCCTTTCTAATGCCTTCCAACAACCTCCTGGGGACTTAGTTACTTGCCACATTCAAAAGATGGCTTATTTCCCCGTGGCCCAAAGTGGAAAATCCAAGACTCCCACAAGAGGCTCCAGCTAGACACCTGGCTTTTCAGAAGGGGAAAAGGGTGCAGTCTCCAGGAGGCTGTCCAGTCAGCCTGGGGTGTGGAGAAAGAGCAGCTTGCAGGGGGGCTGCAAATCGGGGGCCATCTCTCTCCCCCATGGTGCCTCTCTTCCCAGCCCCTGCTTGGTGGGCTGTGCTGGGGTGCAGTCAGGCCCTCCTTGTCTCCTGGCTGATGGGGAGTCTTGCTTGAGCCCCCGCCTGCCCCGCCCTCCTGGGCTCTCCTGTGCTGGAGAAGACCATCGATCTGGTACTGGAAGCTGCTATTGTCCCTGTGGCAGGGGTGTGCAGCCCCCTCCCCAGCGTGGCCAGGGAAAGACCCCCTTCCTGGGCCAGGGGCTCTCCTGCACCCCACAAACACAGGATGGGGTGTGCCCTGGGTTCCTGTAGACCCAGCTACAGCAGGGAGGAGCATAGGGGTCCCAGGAGGCTGCTGCCTGAGTGGGATTGAGAGAGACTGAGGCAAGAGAGAAGAAAGAGGAGCTGGAGAAATCCTGCGAGCCAGCTGAAAATAAAGAGCAGTTTGTGGGGATAGAGTGGTGGGTCGTGGAAAGGGGAAAGACAGAACGGAAAAGCACAGTGCGGGGTGCACCCCTCCAGGAGCAAAGGCGGGCAGAGGCAGGCAGGAGGCTAGGCCAGGGTGTGAAGGCCTCTGGGCGGCCCGAGCTGAGGGTCCCGAGGGCCGCCCCTCCCCCGCCCATTCTCGGGTGACCTTTGCCAGCGGCCGGAGTGGGGGAGGGGGCGATCGATCGCCGGGGCTGAGCTACAAAGAAGAGAGCGCCAGGGCTGGGGCTGAGCACAGACTCTGTGGCCCGGGGCTGGACGCTCAGCGGTCCCTCTTGGGCGCGTCGGGAGGAGGGGAGTGGCCCGCCAAGCTGACAGCGGCGGCTGGTCCGGGGACACAGCAACACCACCACTCCTCTCCAGGCGCGCGATCGTGTACACACACACACACACACACACACACACACACACACACACAATGAACTACATTGAGCGTGCTTCGAGGAACAGCCCGGACCCTCCCAGCAGTCCAAAAGGAACTAGGGAACCCTACCCATTCCGGAAAGAGCAGCAGGGCGACAAGGGGTGGGGGACCGCGCAATTCCTTTCTCCCCTTTTGGTGTCGACACAAACCCACAGAAGCGCAGACAGCGGTCTAGCCTACTGCGAGCCCGCGGGCAATAGTAGGGTGCACGGTAGGAGAGTGGGGAGGGGGTCCGGGCGCTCTGCCGCCTCGCGGCTGGGCGCTGGGGAGCCCAGAGCCCGCGCTCTGAAGTAGGGCGGAGAGCGCCAAGCTCCTACCTGCGAGGCGCAGCGCCGACATGCGCTGGAACTCCGGCTCCTGTAGCCACTTCCACATCCTGCGGAAGGTCTCGCGGCCAGACTTGAGCTTGCTCCACGGCTTGGGGTTGCGCAGCAGGTCGGAGAGCGTGCCCTGAGAGCGGCACAGTATGCGCTGCGCGAAGATGGCCTGCGGAATGCTGTAGCGTTTCAGCTCCGCGGTGATGCGCTGCGCCACCTCCTTGGTGTTGATCTCCTCGGCCGCGGTGCCCGCGCCAGGGCCTCCGCTGCCTCCGCCTGGGCCGCCGCCACCAGAGTGCGGCCCGTGCGCCCCAGCCGCCGCCAGCCCTCCGAGCGGCGCCAGCAACCCCGCGGCGCCCCCGCCGCCCGCTCCACCACCACCTGCACTGCCTCCACCTCCCGGCAGCCCTCGGGCTAGCGCGTCCTCGGCTCGCCCCAGCAGCGCAGCGTGCGGCTCGAAGGCAGCAGGCGGCAGCAGCTTGTCTCCGGCCAGGTGGCCCGGCGCCCCGTAGGCAGCCAGCGGCGGCGGCGGTGGCGGCGGCTGAGGGGCGCTGTGCAGCGCCGGCGGCAGCGCGTTGGGCAGCGGCGACAGCGGCGACCCCATGGCGGGCAGCTCCTTGCCATAGGGCCCGTAGAGATGGCCCACCGAGGCGAGTGCAGCACGCTCGTCGCGCATGAGGGTGAAGCTGCCGCTCACACTAGCAGCCAGGCGTTGCGGCGGGGGCGGCGGGGGCGGCGCGGCCGCGGGGTGCGGGTGTGCGTGAGGGTGGCCGGCGTGCGCTCCGGCCACGGCCGCGGCAGCAGCGTGCTGGTGGAACTTGTCGGCCACGGCTGCGAGCGGCGGCAGGTGCTGCAGGGGCGTGAGCGTCGTGTAGGTGCCACCCAGACCCGGCGCCTCGCAGGCCATGCCCATGGCGGGGTGCAAAGGACCCGCCAGCTCCCCGCGGAAGTCAGCGCCGCCGCCTGCGCTGCCCGCGCCGCCCGCGCCCCCGGCGCCCCCGCCGCCGCCGCCGCCGTCCAGCAGGCTGGCCATGCCCGCCACCAGGCCCGGGCGCCCGGGCGCAACCAGGCTGCGGTGCTGTGCGGCCGCAGAGCGCGCGTGGCCCGGGCTCAGCAGCTCTCCCGCCTGCGCGTGGGCCACACCGTGCAGCCCCCCCAGGCTCTCCAGGCTCAGCTCCATGCTCAGCCGCCGTGCGCTGGCCCCTCGCCGGCTCGGCCTCCTGCCTGCCCGCCGCGCGCTGCTCGGCGCCGGCCCGGCGCGCTCAAGGCCGCTGCATGGCCCCCGCCTGCTCCCCGGTGGCTGCGCGCGAGGCTGCCCGGCTGCGCGGCGCACGGCCCGGCCCGGCTGCGAGCACGGCCACCAGGATGTGGCGGGGGAGCAGCCGCTGGCGCCCGGGCCCGGGTCTGACGTCAGCGCCCCCGCCCACCGGCTCCCGCCGCCGCGGCCTCCTACCGCCTCGCTCTCTGCCCGCCTCGGCCCCCTTGAGCGCCCAGCTGGAGTGGGTCAGACTGGCCGGAGTGGGCCGGACCTGGGGTTCTAGGTTTGGTATCCCTAAGCCCTCCAACGCCCCCTGGGGTCTCCAGTACAGGAAACTCCCGATACAGTGGACAGGGGTCTGAGGACAGCCTCGGTCTAAGGGAGGGCAGGGGGCCTCATCTCTGCGTCTCTGCTTTCTCACCAGAGAGCCCCGAATGTGACTTTCCTGCCTCGTGTCTCCACAGAGTGCCTGGGAGTGCGACTGGTCACTGCCAGAGCTCCGGTCCACCCCTTGTACAGAGCCCCACCAAGAGGGTCGCTTCTGCAAGCTCCACCCTTAGGCATACAGAGAGTCACAGCGTCCCTCAAATGACCTCTTCGGGGTAGAAGTGGGGAAAAAGGGAGGTCACAGTCTACCTTGCCCCAGATGTGAAGATCGGCCCCATGGGCCTCAGTTGCCCCAAATGTGCCATGGAATATCCAGCCTCTGGGGTTCCAAAGGCCCTTCCCAATTCCAGGCTCCTTCTATTTCCCTCCAGTCCCAGTGTGCCAGGAGCCTGAGGGTTACCATTAAAGATTTCCTGTCACCCTCCAGCCCAGAGAGGCTGAGGACACACGTCCTGTTTCCTGAAAAGTCCCTGCCATAAACCCCACGTCCCTGGGATTTTCCTTGGGCAGAGGAAGCCAAGGTGCTCTTCATCACCTGGAGACAGGTGAGGCCAGGGTCCTCTTGGAAATGGGGTAAATAGGGCGGCTTCCTATAATCAGAGAGACCTCTGTGGACAAGATCCCTTCAGAGGGATGAGATGCAGGTCAGAGAGGAGGGTCCAGTGTGCCCAGGCCAGATCTTAGAGGGTCCCGCCACCTTGGAGCCTGAGTCTGGAGTCAGGAGGGTATCCAAAATGCATGCACTCCTAGCCCTCCTTCCTTCCTATGACATCTGTCCCCAGGGTAACCCTGTTCATGATCTAGAATGGGAAAGGGAAGGGCAGCATTATTAGGGCTTAATTTTGGAACCCCCGTTGGTCCCCATCTCAGTAGGGAGAAGTAGGGCTCTCAGCTGAGGGCAGGAGGAGGACCCAGTCAAGGAGCCCTTACAGGCAACCCATTTGGGCAGCCTGGGACTTTCAAAATGATTCTCTGGCCCCTGTAGACCTGGCTGTACATTGGAGATTCTGTTTTCTGACTAGGTCAGACCCTGTACCAGGCCCTTTCTCCATTTCTCTTCTATGATGGGGGGTGTGCAGAGGAGGGGCTACACTCTCCCCTGCAGACCGAGAGGGAGGGGGCTGTGCCTGGGTGGGCTGGGGAGTAGTGGGCAGTCCTTGATGCAGCGCAGCACCTGAGGTTTGGGGGAGACAGTAGAGTGATGTGATCTCACTCCTGGGCAGGATAGGGCTAAAGGGGACCCCTATTAGTACTTGGTGTTTAGGATTGAGCATCTAGTGAGCACCTACTGTTTATCAGGCACATTCTTCTCACACCACTGGATCCCTATAGTTTAAGCCCCAGTTATACCCCTTCATTCTGGTGTTGTCCTAAAGTGAACACCACCCCAAAATACAGGCCCTTGGACTTCCCCACTTCAGGGCTTGTGTGCAATTTCAGGTTTTGCACATCTTCACGCTTTTCTACAGGGTGGGGAGCAGGTCTGGGCAGGTGAGTTTCCTGGTAGTCTTGCAGATCTCAAGTCCGGAGAAGGGAGAGTCTGGCTGTGCCCAGGCTGGCCCTGAAGTCCCCAATTCTACTGAGCAACAATCACAGATAATTAAAAATAATGGTGGGGTCTAAAAATCAATCAACTGCTGTACAACTATAACATCCTGGGCTCAGCGAAGGGCACAGGGGATTAGGTCTCTACTGGTGGGAACTCAGAGGGAAGTCGACCCAGATCCAGCCATGGGCAGCTTGGTGGGGAGGCATTTAGGATCTGAGCTCCCTTCCTTATGGATCTTCTACAGCTCCATTATTTTATTTTTATAACAAGCATCATGGCTTTTCAAATGGGGAAAGCCACCCTTTGAAGGAGAGAGTTGGCTCAGGGACTTTGAGATAGGGGCTCCCTCTGCTACCTCAGGATTCCAGGCTACAGACCCCTGTCAAGCTCCCTAGATTGGAAGGGCCTCCCAGGCTCAGCCTTATCCAGGTGTGTGCAACCTTCCTTCTTTCTTAAGTTGGGGGGACCTGTGCTCCCTCGGGGACAGGGATCTGGCCTTTGTAGAAGCTGTGGTTCCATGGAGAGATGGAGCAAAATTTGCTAGTCCTCAGAGGGGGAATGTGGCCCCCTGGAGCCAGCGGCACCCTGTATCGCCCTTAGTAATTAGTGAAATAGAATTGAGCCGGCCGCGGGGCAGGCGGGTGGCTGGGGCCTTGATCGATCTTAGGTCATTAGGCAAATTGCCGGCAGGGAGGGGTGTGCTGGATGGGGGCAGGGCGCCCCCATCCCTGCCCCTGTGGGACTTCAGACTTGTCGCAGAAGCTCTCTGGACTCAGTATCCCCTCCAGGAAAATTGGAGATTGACTCCTGACGCCTGCGTACGCACCTAGGGGTGCCTCAGCTCTCGCTGGGCAGCCGCAGGCAGACACCCACCCTCTCTGTGCCAGCCCAGGCCTGGGAGAAGCCAAGAAGAGCAGCCTCGGAAGAGCTAACCCGAGGGCTGTGAGAGTCGGCAAGGGAAGCACGGTGGGGTTTGGGGCTTCTTCTGACTCTGGAGTCCAGTGGTCTCTGTCGCTTCCACCTCCATAAAACCACCCAAAGCTCGAATCCCCGCTTAATCGGTATCATTTATCCACGGCCTTCCCTGTTCTCAGCTTTTCCGTGAAGGCTAAAAATACCTGGGCGGGTGGGACAGGCTTCCAAAGTTTTCCTTTCCGGTCCTTCCCCAGATGGCTGCGCAGTGCGCCGCCAGGAGTCCTTGGTGGGGTTTGTCTCCCGGGCAAATGGGAGTCACCAGCTGGGTAACCCTTCTCCCCTTTTATTGGAGCAGGTTTTATTAATTACAGATTCATACCCCCTCCACCCGGCTGGAGCCCGAGATCCGCGCCGCCCTTTCCTCAGCACCCCAAACCTGCGGGCGCCCCAAATCCCGGCCGCCAATCCGGGCGCGTCCCGCTTGCAGCCTGGGCTCCCGTCGCCTTCGTTCGGGCGGGGTCGGGGACTCTGTCCGGGTGGAGGAGGGGCCGAGTTTTCGGCCCGGCGGGGGCGGGGCAGGACTGCGCGCTGCCCCAGGCTCCACCCTTGGACGGCCGGCACTCGGAGGTCCCCAGCGCCTCACTCCCTTGTGGGGCGACTTTGGGCTTTCGCCCCTGGAGGGCCCAGGGTCCCGGGATCCCTGCGCGCGGTCGGGGGCGCCGGGGCCCGCGGCGTGGATGCTCCCCGGGCTCTTCCGCGACAGCTGCGACGGATCGATCTCCGCGCCCGCCCCGGCTTCGTCGTCCCTGCCGCTGGCGCGTGGCTCCATTGAATCCTCGTCGCTCTTGGGCCACGCTGCCCGCCGCGCGCTCCGCAAACACCGCGCTTGTTTGCTTGGGGCACCGGGACTGGGCGGCAGCGGGACTAGGTGGGGACAGCCTGGGGCCCCGAGTCCTCGGCCCCCTCCCTGGGTCCGGGAGTCCAAGGCAAACAATTAGAGGAGGGAATTCCACTCCTAACACTTCAAGCTGGGGAGGGCGCAGGGGGACACTACCCTGCTCGCGCCCCAGTTTCCCCATCCAGAAAGTGACACGCTGGGGCTGCGGTATCCGAGGTCCCGCGAGGGGAAAGGAAAGGTTTACCGAGATCTATCGGATCTCCCTGGCCCGCCCGCTTCGCTGGCTTTCGCTTCCTCCCGCGCCGCCTGTCGGGTGCAGATTCGGGCGCTGGATAAGGGTATGAGGCGCAGCCAGGTGTGGGTGGGGACAGCACTGCGTTCCCTCCCGCCAGCCCGGACCCCTCTTTTCTGGGTTCCTTTGAGATCGTCTCCCCGCACCGTGCGCTCAGGAGAAAACTGAAGGTTTTATACTACAGTCTGGGAAACTGAGGTCCAGGTCTGGCAGGGTGTCGGCTCTGGTCTTCTGCGGGTAGGGGAAGGAGCAGGACCGGTCAGAGGGCTACAGGACTCCCTCGGCCTGGACTCCATTGACCGTGCGTAGCTGGGCATTGCAGGCCGCGGACTTCCCCCGGCGCAACGAAACCCGCGTGGAGCGTGGGTCTCAGGAGTCGCCCAACTTCCATCCCCGCCCTGGGCTTCGCTCCTGGCTCCACTGAGCTAGTCCCCGTGCCTCTAGCTTGCATAGCTTTCAGTCAGGCCACTGAGCGCCCTTCCCGGAAGGCAGGTCCTTTGACGATTAAAACCGTGGGGAAAATTATATATACTATTCCCAGCGTTCTGCAGAAAGGCAACTGCGGATCCTGGAGCTGGGCGCTGCAGGTGCATGGCTGAGGCCCCAGGCTAGATGGGATCCGAGTGCGGCCAAAGACCCGTGGCCCTCGGGGCTTCTCCCAGGCTCAGACTTAGCTCGGGGTCCCCACACCAGAGCTCACCTGCGTGGACACCCTGGAGTGTCCAGACCGTGGACACAAACTTAGAGGCTGGAGAGGACAGGCCTAGGACAGCGCCTGGCCCCAGACACCGCCCCCCCCCCCTCGCAGGGGGCATAATGCAGGTGGGTTACCCTGGGCATTGATCCCTCCAGAGCCATTCATCTGACCACACCTGTGTCCT